ATAATCTCTTATTCTTTAATGTTCTGATGGCACTATAGTGATGTCCCTTTTATTACTGATTTTGGTACAATGTGGTTTTTTTTGTAGCCAGAAGTTTATAAACTTAATTTTTTTAAAAAAGCATCAACTTCTGCTTTCATTAGTTTTTCTCTTTGCTTTTCCCTCTCTTTTAAAAAAATGTTTATTTATTTTGAGAGAGAGTGCACATGCGTTCATGTACCCACACAAGAGTAGAGTAGGGACAGAGACAGGGAGAGAGAGAATCCCAGTCTCCTCACCATCAATGCAGAGCCCAATGTGGCTCCATCCCATGAACTGTGAGATCATGACCTGAGCTGAAATCAAGAGTTGGACTCTCAACCAACTGAGCTACACAGATGCTCCTCTCTTTTATCTCATTCATTTCTGCTTTTTTATTTCCACCTTCCTGATTGCTTTCAATTTAATGTTCTCTTTTATATTTTATCAAGGTGAGAGATGATATTGATTTGGGTCTTCTTTTTCTATTTTAGGTATTCCAAGGCTTTAAATTTTCCTCTAAGTGTCCTGTGTTAGCTGTATCCCCATAAATTCTGGTAGGTTGTATTTTCATTATTATTCAATTATAAATATTTTTCTTGTGACATTCTTTCACCTAATGATGATTTAGACATGTGTGGTTTAATTTTCATATATTTGGGGTTTTCATGTTATCTGATATTTTTTAAATTACTACTAAAGTTTACTTAGTATGGTTTTCTTTCAATTTGCATTCATTAGCTTATTATTTTGCAAACTAGTAATTCAGGTCATTTATCTTAAGGCACAGTTAAAATTTTCTGCTCTGAGTTAGAGTTTTAAAAAAAAGCTTCCATTTAAAGTGTTAGAAGTTCAAGGTTTCTTTTCTAGAGATTTTCTTTTGTTTTAAATTTATATAAATGTTTATTAACCCTTATAGTCAAGTTAAAAAAGAGTTCTGTTAAATTTAGGAAAATTTATAATCTAATTCATTAGTTATTTAATTTGGAGATGTCAAGGTAAGCTAATTTGTTGAGAAAATATTTTATACTCAGAACATGAAAAAATTCTATCAAACTCTAGCAAGCTAGGGAATCCATTTGGAGTTCATAGCCAGATTTCCATTTCTTTATTTGCTCTTTATTTTCTGCAGTAATTGTATGGTCAGACCATGTGGCTTGAGCTAAAGACTTAACTTTAAAGTCCTTCCTGGGGGAGTGGGGTGCCTGAGTGGCTCAGTTGGTTAAACATCTGGCTTTGGCTCAGGTCATGATGTTAAGGTTTGTGAGTTTGAACCCCACATCTGCTCAGTCTCCCCTGTCAGCACAGTGCTCGCCTCAGATCCTCTGTCCTCCTCTCTCTCTCTCTGCCCTTCTTCTGCTTGCACCCTCTCTCTCAAAAATTTTTAACTCAGCTTTATTTGGCACTCTCCTTTATATTTTGACCTAGCTCATTTATGCCATTGTGTGTGGCTCTTTTATTTGAGATGAAAGAGAAAAAATTACATACTCAGAACACTTCAGATTTCTCATGTATTTACCAACAGGAGGGCATGAAGCTCCTGATGAGCTAGACGCATTAATTCCCAGTACAACATCCATTTATATGTTGATATAATTGTTGTAAATACTAAAAAACCCTTTCTGAAAAGTCCTTTATCTTTGCTTACAGGCATATAAAAATCAGTATATTTTTTAATTAAAAAAATTTATATAAGGAATTTTTTTCTAGCCTTCTTGAGATCTGACATAACATTGTATAAATATAAGGATGCAGCATAAGGATTTATGTACGTATCACAAATAAATTACCACAATAAGGTTAACACAAGCATCACCTCCATAGTTACAATTTTTTTGCATATGGGGTGTACTTTTAAGATCTATTCTCTTAGCAACTTTCAAATATATGATACAGTTTTGTTAACTATAGTCACCATGCTGTACATTACATCCCCACAACTTACTCCTCTTACAACTGGAAGTTTGTACCATTTGACCATATTAACTCATTTACCCCACCACCCACCCCTGGCAACCACTAATCTGTTCTCTGTGTCTATCTGGTCAGTTTTTTAGATTCCATATATAAGTGAGATCATACAGTATTTGTCTTTCTCTGACTTCTTTCGTTTAGCATAATGTGTTGAAGATCCAACCATGTTGTTGCAAATAGCAGGATTTTTTTTTTTTTTTTATGGCTGAATAACACTCTTGACCCATGATCAGCATAGGTTTGAAATAAATATACAGTACTGTAAATATATGTTCTCTTATGATTGTCTCAATATTTTTTTCTCTAGCTTTGCTTTATTGTAAGAATACGCTACCTAGGGGGAAAGGGAGAGAGGCAAACCATGAGAGACTCTTGAATGCTGACAAAAACTGAGGACTGATGGATGTGGGGGGGAGGGGGGATGGGCATGGAGGAAGACACTTTGGGGATGAGCACTGAGTGTTATGTGGAAACTAATTTGATGATATTTGTAAAAAAAATAAAAAAATAAAAAAATAAAAAAAATACGCTACCTAATATAACATACAAAATATATGTTTATCAACTGTTTATTCTATCAGTAAGGCTTCTGGTGAACAGTAGGCTTTAGTAGTGAAGTTTTGAGGGAGTCAAAAGTTATACACAGAGGAGGCTTTAGTGTTTTCTATGTATAGTATCACATCATCTGCAAATAATAACAATTTTATTTCTTCCTTACCATTTTGGATATGTTTTCTTCCTTTTTTTTTTTTTTCCTTTTTCTTATCTAAATGCTGTGCTTGGGACTTCTAGTACTATGTTGAATAAAAGTGGTGAGAGTAGGCATCTTTGTTTCTTGATCTTAGAGGAAAAGCTCTAAGTTTTTCACCATTGAGGTTGATGATAGCTGTGGGTTTGTCAGATATGACCTTGTTATGTTAAGGTATGTTCCCTCTAAGCCCACTTTGTTGAGAGCTGTTATCATGAATAGATGTTGAATTTTGTCAAATGCTTTTTCTGAATGTATTGAGATCATGTGATTTTTTTTTTTATCCTTCACTTATTTTTTGGACTAGTTTAAGGGGAATAGGTTTTAGGTCTTCTTTACATGTTTGGTAGAATTAGGGGCACCTGAGTGGCTCAGTTGAGCAGCCAACTTCAGCTCAGGTCATGATCACACAGTTTGTGGGTTTGAGCCCCATGTCGGGCTCTGTGCTGACAACTAGCTCAGAGCCTGGAACCTGCTTCGGATTCTGTGTCTCCCTCTCTCTCTGACCCTCCCTCGCTCACACTCCGTGTGTGTGTGTCTCTCTCTCTCAAAAATAAATAAACATTAAATTTTTTGAAAAAAAAAGTTTGGTAGAATTCACCCATGAAGCCATCTGGTCCTGGAATTATTTTATTGGGAGTTTTTTGATTACTGATTAAATTTCTTTACTAGTAATCAGCCTGTTTAGCTTCCGGCTTTTGTTTTTCTAAGATTTTATTTTTCAGTAACCTCCATACCCACCACGGGGCTCAAACTCACAACCCCGAGATCAGGAGTTGCATGTTCTTCCAGCTGAGCCAGCCAGCACCCCCAGGCTTACTCTTGATCATTGGGTGCAGTTCTCTGAGACTTTCAAATTTTAGCTCAAGTGGAAGTGTTTACTTGGTCCTTCTTACTTGGCCAGCTCTGAAGTCCATTTTTTTTTCTTCTGAGAATCTGCAAAAATTCTTTTCAGATTCTAAGGCTCCTAAATAATATTATAGTCTTTCAGCCACTTACCACCTGATTTCAAATCAGAAATCACCTCAAGAATAAAATCATACAAATATCAGGCTTCTCAATATGGATTTCCTAAGCCCTCTGTTATCTTGTCCCCACAAATCCTCACAGCTTTCATCTCTTTCCCATGCTGACAAATTTATGTACATGTGTGTTTGATAAGTTAGAAAGAGACAGAAAGACCTAGTATATAGATATTATTTATTTCTGGAAACTGGTCATTGCAATGAAATATTTACAGGTGATATGATTTCCTACTTGAAAATCTATGAATTTTTAGTTAAAAATTACTAAATCTACCAAAGAATTCAATCCTCAGTATTATACAAGGGTTTGGTCAAATAGTGTTATTATTATATACTCATGATAGAAAAGTAAACACAATTTTTTGTTATGCTTCAGTATTATGAAAAATAAAAGTGCACATATATGTGCAATCACTTCACATTTATTCCTGAATAATGAAAGGCAAACACATATAGCAGCATTTTTATAGTAACAAAAATTCAAAAATACCCTTGAATAAGGAGATATTTTAAAAAATTATTATAGCTATGCAACAGGGTATTCTATTTATATGACTTGTAAAAATATATAAGTATCACCAAATCAAATCATAGGTATATTATCCCTAAATATCTGTATATATACACATACATAAAAACTCATATTTCTGATATGTATATTCAAATATAACCATATATACACATTATATTCCCCCTTCTTTGCCTTAGTATGTCCATGTATGTGTGTGTCTCCATGCGTGTTTTTTTTTTTGTTTTGTTTTATTTATTTCTAGGAGAGAGAGACAGCGTGAGCAGGGGAGGGTCAGAGAGAGAGAGGGAGTCACAGACTCTGAAACAGGCTCCAGGCTCTGGGCTGGCAGTCAGCACAGAGCCCGACGCGGGGCTCGAACCCACGAGCCGCGAGATCATGACCTAAGCGAAAGTTGGACGCTTAACCGACTAAGTCACCCAGGTGCCCCACCATTCGTGTGTTTAACCAGTGGGGGAAAACAAGAAGGGCATCCATGGACAGAGCAGCAAATTCAAGTTTTACCTTATGTTATTGCCTCTGGCTAGAATGATCTTCTCCAGTTTTCTCCCTGCATGTATATACCTACATATACATACACATACACAAACATGCATCACACACAATTATTATTTTTTTTAATGTTTATTTCGAGAGAGTGAGCACAAGCAGGCAAGGGGCAGAGGGAGAGAGAGAAGGCTTTAAGCTCAGCACGGAGCCCAACATGGGGCTCAATCTCATGACTGTCAGATCACAGCCTGAGCTGAAATCAAGTGGGATGCATTAATCAACTAAGCCATCCACATGCCCCCCCCCCGAAATTTTGTTTTAATAACCATTGGAAAAAAACAGAAATTGTACATACCAAACTATCAAGAGCATATTCCCCTGGAGAACTAACTGGAGTAAGAGGTAAGTAAATTTTATATATTTGAAAAACATTTTTAACTCACAGGATAATTTTTAACAGAAGAAAATATGACATTAATAAGGTCTCTTACATTTGATATACACTGCAGATGAGCTACAGCTTAAGATCTCAGCGTTGTATTACAAAAAGAATTTTGTAAGAAACTGTTAACAGAGTTTTTGTTCCATGTGGGAAAATCTGAACTGAATCTTAAAGGATGAGGAAAATTAGAAGAGATGGGGTCAGGAATGTCATTCCTGGAGGTGAACAACAGCTAACACACAGGACAGAAAGCATCTGGCTTGTGCAGATGAGCCCAGAGAGCATCGCTCGGCAATCTGGCAGCCTGCCCTTTCTTCAGACTGGAATGAAACACAGCTCATATGCAGTTGGTGGGGCACCCAACCCATTGACAACTGGGGCAGTGTCAATGTCCTTTGGATCAACCAGAGATTTCAATGTAAAATGTTGTAAAATGTTGGTCAGTAGTAAAAACAGCTCCATGCGGGCCAGGCCTTCTCCAACACAAGCTCTTTTTCCTAAAAATGACACGTTAATATTCATTTAATTCCTTTTCCTGAGTCAGCACACAAGGAAGAAAATAAATATATTAACAGACTAATTAAACTATGCCTTCTTTTACCTACACCGAAAACTGGTTACCTTCATTTCCTCAGTACATATTTCTGTGTGCATGTGTAAAGGCAAGGGCAGGTCACCACAAGATGGACCACTTTAGCATAAAAATTATTTTTAGTTAAAAGCAAGCAAAACCCAGCAGATTCAAGGAAAGCTCCTTACTTCTCCCTCAACTGCCAGCTTATACCAAGAAGAGAGCAATTAACAGAGATTCTTCTTTACCTAAGAAACTTCTCTGCATTAAAGAGCAACCTTTGTTTTTGAAACAGCTTTCACATTCCTGCTAATGGTCTTCCTCTCCTGTGAATCCCCAGACCCCTTCCTCTCGCCTTAACTCAGGATGTCATAGGAGCCTCATGTTGCCTGACTGTATTTGAAATTTCATGTCTGTGGATTCCTCATACCTGTGAAACAATCTGATTTTCTCTTAATCTGTCTATTTCTCTTTTAGTCTAGCTGGGAAGGACCTTGAAAGGTAGAGGAAAATTACTCATCCCGGACACCTGGCATCTTTGGCAGTCCACTGTAACACACTGTCACAACTGGATGCTGCTTGTCATAAACACAGCTGTGGCTGGGAGATCTTTGGGACATCTGACCTATAGCTGGCAGAAGGTAAGATTTCCTACCATGTTAGTCTCCTGAAATCTGAAGAGTCTGATGGAGCAAGAATGGTGAGAGTCCTCCTCTCTTTTTAAATTGAGATTAGCAGGAGAAAATACTTGGAGAACTAGGTCCTTGGGTTTAGCAACTCTTGGTAAATTAACCAGAGATGGTCTTTGTTTTCCTTTGTTTATTTTACACTGTTTGTCCTAAAAAGGAATTAGCATAGGGTAGAAAGCAAGCATAGGCCCTATAAACCTGCTGTTTGAGCCAGTCCCACAGGCTGATGAGTTCATGATTCTCATCAGACTGGCACCTGTTTAGAAGCTGTTGCTAAAGGACATCTTGGAAAACAAAGTTGCACAACTGGTGGGTGCAGGTCGAACACTTAAAAGCTATTAGAGCACTGGCCACCTTAAGAAGTCTCCTATGATAGGATAAGTTGGTCACGGAGCAGGTTAGGTTAATATTTGGTCACCTGCCAACCTCAAGGAAACAGCTGTGCAATGAGATACACTGGAAAACAGCACACAATCCCCAACCCAGTGTCACATTCCTCTTAGGAATGAGTGTGGCTCCAAGAGACCCAAGATTTAGCTGAAAGAAAAACCAGATAGGATTTTTCCTTTTGTCTTGTTCATAGAACAAGCTCCTAAGAGCTTGGCTTTGTGAGCAGTAAGAATATGCTGTTTGCTCTCTACCATCTGGAGGATACACCTATCCGGGTGCACCTTAATAGCCAGTTGAAAAAAAGGGGGATATGAGTCTCTCTGTTTGGTCATGCCAGATTTCCAGGGTGTTTGTCCCAGCCCATAGGAGCCTTTATATTCTCAACCTTCATTTCTTGTTAGTGCTGGAAACTCTCATTATAGGAGCACATGCCTGATGTCACAGATTATTGTCTGTGACTAGAGGCATCTCAAGATTTCGTTGGAGACCAGCAATGAGGGCCTCTGTTTTCTTTAATTATGGGAGTAAACTTTGGATCATGAGGGCTGTGTCATCTATGCCCTTTCTCTGGACGCCTCTTGTATCTTTGGTTAAGGCATTAAAAGGCTTATTGGTTTGAGTTGCTCATAACAGATCCTATTTATCAATAGCCAGATGATGGATCCTTTAACTTAGCTAATGTTTGAAAAAAGAAGAAAAAGATTTTAAAGTTAGTTTAACAGCTAGCCTCAGGGACTCCCTTCGGAAGATGAAAGAAGAGAAACTAAACTTAAAATAAATATCCACATTCAACATAAATACAGCCTTATCTGCCTATTTTAACTTCCCTTTCCCTATAAGATTTACAGAGAGCACTCCAACTTCATCTCTAGGTTCAAATTTTACAGGCTCCTCAAGTAATTGCTGAAAGCCAGGAAAGGAATTTAACAAAAGCAGTAAGGCTCCCTTTGCTTCTACCTTCCAGGGCAGTTTATGACAGCTTCAGGCATTCCTATGCAATGTACTTGGCTGTTGTATCCTAGACCCCCAAGGCAAACGAATTTGTGTCCCCTGGACAGCAGCAAAGCTTTTAAATTATAAAGCCCTTTTAACCTCTACGTTCAAACGACCCTACCAAATTTACAGAGAAATTAAAAAGATTAATCACTAGTCACAACCCTCCGTTCAGAGAGAAACCCTCTCTTCAGGGAGGAAACGTGACCAAAATTTCTCCTAGGCCCTCCTATAAATGATCAGGGAAAGGGCAATATTTAGGGACTGATAGAAGCCCAGATTAAACTGTACAACCAGAAAGAAGGCTTTTGTTAAAATGCTTCATACAGACTTTACAAAGCCATGAATCTTTTGATTCCCATTTCAATAAAAAAATCTGCCTGATATAAAAAAGCAAATTTAGGGGCACCTGGGTGGCTCAGTCAGTTGAGGTCCAACTTCGGCTTAGGTCATGATCTCACAGTTTGTGGGTTTGAGCCCCGCATCGGGCTCTGCGCTGACAGCTAGCTCAGAGCCTGGAGCCTGTTTTGGATTCTATATCTCCCTCTCTCTCTGACCCTACCCTGCGCACACTGCCTCTCTCTCTCAGAAATAAATAAAACATTAAAAAAATAATAAAAATAAAAAAGGTATTTAAAAAAAAAAGGAAATTTAGTTTAAAAAGGGGGCCAGTCCTTTGAGGACTTAGAAGCAACTCTTCTTTCAAAGCTCTACAAAACCAGAGATGCAACTCTAGAAAGAATTCAAAGCTTACCTCTCTTTACCAATCCTCAAACCTGGTCTATTTCTCTCAAAATGTTTATAGATACGATAAAAGATTACGATTTGGAAGAGTATTGCTGAGTACTGAAAAGAAAGTAAATTTTAAAGAGCAATTACCCTGAAACAAGAGAAAAAAAATTTTTTTTACCTTCTCTGTCCCTTGAAATTATAAATCTAATGTCTTTGAACACAGCCCACAATCACCTGAGACTGAAAGAAAAAAAAAGCAAGAGGTGGGGTAGGGTGACAGTCGTAGGGGAAGAGGCCTTTCCAAATACAAACTGCTAAAATGCCTCTTCTGTTCAGACTTGGAAAAAAACATGGATACTTTTCTCTGTGCTTTTGTGATATAAATTTTCTATGCTTATCATCTCGAAGATGTAAAAGTCTTTCTTTTAAATACAAACTTCAGGGGCACCTGAGTGGCTCAGGTTGAGTATTTGACTTTTTTTCTTTTTTAAAGTTTATTTATTTTAAGAGAGTGGGAGGCTGAGAGGCAGCGAGAGAATCCCAAGCAGGCTCTGCGCTGTCAGCACAGTGCCTACTCAGGGCTTCTCCCCACAAACCATGAGATCATGACCTGAGATCAAGAGTTCATGCTTCACTGACTGAGCCACCCAGACCCCAGGATCAGACTCTTGATAGTGGCTCAGGTCATGATCTCAGCCATGAGCTGGAGCCCCATATTGGGCTCTGTGTTGAACTTGGAGCCTGCTTGGGATTCTCTCTCTCCCTTTTTCTCTTCCCCTCTCCCACTCATGCATGCATTCTCTCCCTCTCTCTCAAAATGAATAAACAGACATTTAAAAAATAAATTTGTAAAAAGGCTCCATTTAGTTGGCTTGAAGGCAAGTACTTTAAGGATTGGGCATTCTAAAACTCAGATAGAAGCTAACCTAAATAATTTTCAAGTTAATGTGATCTCAGAAAATTTTTTTTTTTAATTTTTTAATGTTTTATTTATTTTTAGGAGAGAGAGAGAGACAGCGTGAGCAGGGGAGGGTCAGAGAGAGAGGGAGACACAGAGGCTGAAACAGGCTCCAGGCTCTGAGCTGGCAGTCAGCACAGAGCCCGACGCGGGGCTCGAACCCACGAACCGCGAGATCATGACCTAAGCGAAAGTCAGACGCTTAACCGACTAAGCCACCCAGGCGCCCCACAGAAAATATTTTTTAATGTTTATTCATTTTTGAGAGAGAGACACACAGAATTCAAAGCAGGCTCCAGGCTCTGAGCTGTCAGCACAGAGTCTGATGTGGGGCTCGAACTCATAAGCCGTGAGATCACGACCTGAGCCAAAGTTGGATGCTGAGTCACCTAGGCACCCTGAAAATATTCAATATCAAAGCTAATTTAAAGTTGTTGGTTTAGAACATGGGCGGCTCAGTTGGTTGAGCCTCTGACTCTTGATTTCAGCTCAGGTCATGATCCACAGCATCATGGGATCAGGCTCCACATTGGGCTCCATGCTCAGCATGGATTCTCTCTTTCCCTCTCTCCTGCTCGCATGCACTCTCAAAAAAAAAAATTGTTTAATTAAAATAGCCATGTCTTCAGAGTTATCAGGATTAAATATAAAACTTTTATTCTGCCTGTGTTTACTAAAAGTCAAATAAGTCCACATTATAGCTTACAAAATTTGTCAAGAAAAAAACCTTAAAATAATGGTTGACTTTGTCCAATGCCTTATAAAATTTTGTGACTAGTCTAAATATAACTGTTCAGAACAAGTAAATTAAATAGATGTAGGGGTGCCTGGTGTCTCTGTCAGTTGAGTGTCCAACTTCAGGTCATGATCTCACAGTTCATTAGTTTGAGCCCCACATTGGGCTCACTGCTTGTCAGCTTGTCAGCACAGAACCCACTTCAGATCCTCTGTTCCCCTCTCCCCTCCCCTGCTTACACTCTCCCAAAAAACAATAAAAATAAATAGATGTAAATAAGATTAAAAGGTTTGTAGGTAAGCTTTTAAATAGATACCAAATCTTCAGTAACCTGAATTTTTAAACTTTGGCTAAGTTAAATTCATTGAATATCTAGATCATTTCCAAATAAGATAAAATAATGAAACATAAGTACTGAACATAGGTTTATCTACTTTTGTCTTTTTTTTAATGTTTGTTGATTTATTCTGAGGGAGAGTGAGCAAGGGAGGGACAGAGAGAGAAAGAGAATCAACAGGCTCTGCAATGTCAGCGCAGAGCCCAATGCAGGGCTTGATCCCACGAACCATGGGATTACAACCTGAGCCAAAATCAAGAGCCAGTCACTTTACTGACTGAGTCACCCAGGCATCCCTCTACTTTTGTCATATTACAGAGAAACTACAGTTAAATTTGGGTCTGTTAGTAAACCTGGTTTGTCCTTTACTGAAAGACTGTACTATGATGAAGTATATGTTTCTAAGTTACAAAATGTATTCTTAAATTTGCCAGTCTAAAAATACTGGTATTATAGTTCACTGTGAAAGTGAGGTGCCTCCATCACATATCTGCTAATCTGTGATACCAGGCAGGCACTCCTGTAATGGGACTTCCTGGCACAAGCAGGAAACAAAGGTTGAGATGACAGCTTGTGGGCTGGGACCTCTCATGACAAATACCCTGAAGAACTGTCATGGCCAGAGAAAGACTTGGAGCCCCATTCTATTTGGCCACCAAGGCACTGTTAAGTGCCTCCTCCAGATGGTGGAGACCAAAGAGAATATTCTCACTGGTCACAAAGTCAAGCTCTTAGGACAAAGAACAAGACAAAAGGAAAAATCCTATCTTGTATATATGCACATTCACAGCTTTAGCTAAGTGTTGGGGGGCTTGGAGCCACATTAATACCTGTAGGATGCACCGCAGGGTTGGGAATTGTGTGTTATTTTACAGAGTGCCTTTTTCTTGAGGCTAGGAGGTGATCTATTATCAATCCAACCTGTTCTGTGACCAACTTATCCTATCACAGGAGACTTTTTTTTTAAATATATTTTATTTGTGGGGGCACCTGGGTGGCTCAGTTGGGTGCTCAGTCAAAGCATCTGACTTTGGCTCAGGTCATGATCTTATGGTGGGTTTGTGAGTTCGAGCCCCACATCAGGCTCTACACTGACAGTGAGGAGCCTACTTGGGATGCTCTCTCTCTCATTCTCTTTTAAAAAAATTTATTTTTTAAGCAAGAGCCACACCTAACATGGGATTCAAACCCACAACCCCGAGATCACGTCACAAACTCCAATGACTGAGCCAGCCAGGAACCTTAGTTCTAACTTCTTTTAAGTGTTCAACCCGTGTCCACCAGTTTTGCAGCTTTGGCTTCCGAGAGGTCTGTTAGCAACAGCCTTGACTTCATACACCCATTAACATAAAGCAAAGTTTGTATGACAAATGACATAAAAGACACAAAGGAAAACAAAGACCATCTCTGGGGGGAAATAGGTCAGTTACCAAAGAGTATCCTACCAAACTCAGCAAGAGTCACTAAGCCCAAGGAACCTGTTAATCTAAATTTAGAAAGAGAGAAAAAGGACTGTCATCATCAGACTCTTCAGATAGAGACTCTCAGACACTGACATGCTAAGAAATCCTACCTTCTGCCAGCTGTCCAAAGGAGCTCTTGGCTATAGCAGTGTGTGGGGCAAGCAGTGTCCAGCGAGTTAAGGTGTCCTGCTGACACCAATTGTCTGGTGGGGAGCAGGAATTTCCAGTCCCTCTCAAGGTCCTCTTAGCTGGACTAAGAATCAAATTGACATGAGACAAATAAACAGAAGAAAATCAAATTTAATTTCACATGTGCAGAGAATCCACAGAGATCTGGAAATTCCAAAGATGATCAGGCAAAATAAGGTATTTATGTCATCCTGAGCCACGAGGGTGGGGAAGAAAAGAAATATTGCAAATCAGCCACAAGCATAATAACTAATCACTAATTCCCAGACTGGCGATTCCAAAGGCTGTCTAGATTCCAGTTATTCCTTCAGCTGAAATAGCTTCCATTCTACTCTGCCTGCTGATATTTTCTACATCATTCTAGATCCAGCTCAGATATCATTTCTTTTATGCAAAGTTCTCTGATGTCCTCAGAGTACATAACTCACTTCTTTATCTGTTTTCTATCACACTAGTTAATGCTTCTAAAACAGCATGTTTCAGATTAAATTATAATTATTAACCTATCTCACATACTGGAACATAAGCTCTTAAGGTTAAGGCCTCAGATCTTGTAATGACACCCACAGTGGCAGGGCAAAGCAGGTCTCCAAGCCCTGTGACTTGAACAGAAATCTCAAGGAGTCTCATTATGCAGTAATGGGCCCAAAATATAGGAAGAAAGGTAAGGAGTGATACAGCAGTATCTGGCTTTAAGATCATCTCTGGGCATTGCACATAATTTTCTTAGATACTCAATCAGAAGCACATCTCCTAGTTTTGTCTCTTTCAATTACTTCCATAGCAAAGGCCTATTACCCTCCTGTCTTCCCTTTGAAGTGTTTTGAAAATTCTCCATTTCTCCTTCCTTCCAGCTCTATTTTGTGTTTGTCTTTTATGCCTACTCTGTGTTCAGCAAGCTGATTTCTATGGGTGCATAAACCGAGAAGTTAATTCCCTTCTGGGTTCTGAATAAATTCAGAGCATTAGATATTGAAAAAGTCAGAGTATTTATTCCTCAATCCTAGCCTGCCAGGCTATAGTTCAGGCAGTGGTTGTGCTGCTTTACTATAGACACATCTCCAGTTGAGGCATCCGCCCTTTCTTTCCTAACAGTGATGCCCTCCTTCCCTCATCCCTTCCAACTTAGGATGGTAACCTCTTCCCGCTGATGCCAGTCCCTGAGTACTTTATAATATCTTATTTACCTTATTCCTACCCACCCTCTGAAAATAGTCTCATCATTGCATTCTCTTTAATTAGCCATTTTGAGCATGCCACCTGTTTCTTCCCAGGACAAACTGAAGGAAGATACTCAAATTTCCATTAGCCTCTATCTGTTCTACCCTCTGCCCCTGCCCCTTTTTAGGAATCTCAGTGGTGGGTCCTGATGCCAAACTCAGTGAGGGCAGACTCCAATTAAACAAGAAATAACCTGGGCTTTGGGAGTGATGGCTCTAGTCTCATACAAATGACAATTTGTCCGGTCCAGAAGAGCCTCTGTGCAAAGCCTGCTTCGTCTCACTGACCCCCAATGCATAGATAAAAACGAAGTTTGCTTGCCTGCTGAAAAAGCCAGGAAGTAGTCACTCTTCTTAAAGTTGCCACTTTCATCCAGGAAGTGGCTGGGATCAAACTGATCTGGGTTGGGAAACTCTTTGTCATCATGCAGGACAGAAGTCAGAGATGTTAATATGGTTGTGCCCTAATATAAAGAGAAACAGATAAACTGGATTATGATGAAGGCCATGGAGCTTAAAATCCTTTTGTTTTGTAGATGAGGAGACTGAGGCACAAAAATAATTTATTTACTCCATGTCACAGAACAAACTAATGACCAACCCTAAGAGGTTTTAAATCATGTAATGGCAGTCCAAGACACTGTTAACTGGCTTCAAATTTTGTAGCCTGACACTAGCACTTGGTTTTCAGAAAATTAAGGGAGCTCCCTAGAGTGCATTGTTGACAAATGGATTGCAGTATTGTCTCAAGGTGCTGATGCCACTGAAAATCTAGCTCATTCTCTTTGGAACCAAGTATGAGGTCTTCAAAACTCTACTTGAGTGGCCATATTCTTGAAAGCCCTTCATCTTCCCATCAAGATGACAAACTTAGGGGCACCTGGGTAGCTCAGCTGGTAAAGAGTGTGACTCTTGGTTTCAGGGTCGTGGGTTCCCACTTTGGGCATAAACCTTACTTTAAAAAAATTTTTTTAAAGATAACAAATGGGTAAGTATTCCCTCCTCCTGCTATGCTCTTTCAATTGCATTGTTGCATATTATTGTAGAAATGAGAGAGTATTTCTGCTTCCTAGTAGGGTGTTCTTAAACTAATAGATACAGTGTAACACAACAACCTGGAGGTTAGTTTTCAAAATCAATTGAATCTTTCTATTAAATTAAGCTCTGTGATCGTAGATTAGTTGTTTGACATCCCATGCCTCATTTTCATTACTAGTAAAATGTAAATTGTACATCTGCACTAGTTCACTGTAAATGTAAAATGAGATAATACATGAAATACTCTTGCACAAAGATTACCACATGCTAAAATGCTCAATAAAGAGAAATTTGATGGGCTGCCTGGATGGCTCAGTTGGTTAAGCATCTGACTCTTGATTTTGGCTCAGGTCATGATCTCACGGTTCGTAAGTTTGAGCCCCACATCAACCTATGTGCCGACAGTGCAGAGCCTGGTTGGGATTCTCTCTTTCCTCCTCTTCCTGTCTCCCACTTGTATGCTCTCTCTTGCTCTCAAATAAATACGCTTAAATAAATAAATATTAAATATATATATATATTTATTTATTAAATAAATAAAATTTAAAAAGAGAGAGAAGGGGTGCCTGGGTGGCTCAGTCAGTTAAGTGCCTGACTTTGGCTCAGGTCATGATCTCATGGTTTGTGGGTTTGAGCCCCGCGTCGGGCTCTGTGCTGACAACTAGCTCAGAGCTTGGAGGCTGTTTCAGATTCTGTATCTCCCTCTCTCTCTGACCCTCCCCTGTTCATGCTGTCTTTCTCTCTCTCTGAAATAAAACATTAAAAAAAAAATAAACATTTAAAAAAGAGAGAGAGAAATCTGTTACTATTATGATAATGACTTCATTCAAAATCTTGGGGTCTTAAGGTCATACATTTATTACATAGCAGAGACAAAATGCAAATCCTGATCTGTCTGGATGCTTTCTGGTGTACTGTATGGCCTTTCCAAATACATGATATAGTTCACATTGAATGAAAGGTCATGGATCAAATGCATAGACTACATTTCCATGTAGATAAATGAAACTGATGTTTCAGTCTTTACTGAACGTCTTCCCCATAGACCAGTTACTGTTGTGATTCATTTTCTGCCCTTGGATAGACTTAGAGACATGGCCTGAGTATGAAGTACAGACAGTATGGTCAGCCCTAGAATAGGCTTCCATATAAAGTTAGTTACAAAACACTTCTCCTGGCTAATGGTACCATCCACTTCAGACTATAACAGAATAAATGCTTTGGAGTTGTCCTCACAACTAACACAAATATAAATCCAGAAAAAAAATATATGAAGAAATAGCTCTCTGGCGCTGAACAAGAGGCAATCCAGGATTATAATACTTCACTAAAGAGAAATTAGGTAGACTCTACAATCACACTGGATTTCTGCCTGACAACACTTTACTCCTAGAGTTCAGGGAGGTGAAGGTCAAGCAAAGTGCTTCTCTTTTTGAGCTAGCACTCTGTCTATATGTGACACTGATAGCACTTGAGCTATCTCAAGTGATAAAGAGAGATAAAAATTTGGCATCTAGAATTCATGAAAAAGGATACAGGACAAGAAGAATCTACAAATAGAGAAGATCTCAAAGGTATATAAGACCTGTGACATCATAAGACTCTGTGAGACCATGATTATGGGTTGGGAGGCACATACATAGGAAACTCCATGAAAGCCTATCAGAGTACGACTGCTTGAGAACTGCAGATGAATAACAGATGTTGTGCAGTGATAGAGGAATTGAGATTCCAACCCAGCTAGGATGGAGAGAACTTTCTTAGCACCTCAGATGCTAAGGTGACCCCAAACTTCTAAATCATTGGACTAAGGAAGTCATATCAGACTAAAGGCCATGCACAAAGACTAAATTCAGAACTGAAACTAATCCAGAATGAAAGAAATATAGTAAACCTCACAGACTGAAAAGCATCTGTCGTAATTTAGCTGCCTGCCAAAATAAATGCCAATGCTCTTTAAAGGAAGACAGCATAATCCAGACTTCCCACAGGGCATCATTCAAAACATTAAGCATATAATAAATTATTAAACATGTGAAAAGAAGGAAACGTAACCCAAAATTAAAGAAAAAAATAATCCATAGAAACATACCCCATAGTACACTAGTTGTCAGATTTATCAAGTAAGAGGTTCAAAGCATATGAATATATGAGTGTGTGTTTAACAGACACAGAACAGTCCATCCAAAAGCAACAGAGTACATGTCCTTCTCAAGCACATGTGGAATATTCTTCAGGAAAGATAATATGTTAGGGCACAAAGTAAGCATTGATAAATGGCAAAGATTAAAATTGTATCAAGCATATTTTCTGACTACAATGATACGAATCTAGAAACATGAACAAAATTGAAAAATTCAGACTTGTGAAGATTAAACAACATGCTACTGAACAACAAATGTGTTAAAGAAGAAATAAAAAGAGAAAAACATACCCTGAGAGAAATGAAAATGGAAACACAACATACTGAAACTTATGGGATACAGGAAAAGCAGTTCAAAGAGGAAAGTTCATAGTAATAAATGCCTACATCATATAATATGAAAAATCTCAAACAACCTAACTTTATACCTCAATGAACTAGAAAAAGAGCAAATGAAGCTCAAAGTTAGGAGGAGTAAGGAAATAACAAAGATTAAGATTGAAATAAATGAAATAGAAACTAAAAAGAATAGAAAAGATCAGTGAAACCAAGAACTTGGTTTTTGAAAAGAAAGATAAACAAAATTGATTAACCTTTAGTTGGTCTCACCAACAAGAGGACTCTATATAAGAAATGAAATAGGCTATTACAACTGATACCAAAGTTGTAATACAAGAGAACATGAGACTACTGTGGATAATTATACACCAACAAATTAGACAACCTAGCAGTTATGGATAAATTGCTAAAAACATATAACATACCAAGACTGTATCATAAAGAAACAGAAAATCTGAACAGACCTATTACTCTGCTTGAATTAGGAATCAAAACCCTCTCAACAAACACAAGTCCAGGACCAGACAGTTTCACTGACAAATTCTACAAAATATATTTTTTATTTTTTTTTAATTTTTTAAAATGTTTTATTTATTTCTAGGAGAGAGAGAGAGACAGCGTGAGCAAGGGAGGGTCAGAGAGAGAGGGAGTCACAGACTCCGAAACAGGCTCCAGGCTCCGAGCTGGCAGTCAGCACAGAGCCCGATGCAGGGCTCGAACCCACGAACCGCGAGATCATGACCTAAGTGAAAGTCAGACGCTTAACTGACTAAGCCACCCAAGCGCCCCTATTTTTTAATTTTTTTAATGTCTTATTTATTTCTGAGAGAGAGAGACAGCATGAGCAGGGGAGGATCAGAGAGAGAGGGAGATACCGAATCTGAAGACAGGCTCCAGGCTCTGAGCTAGCTGTCAGCACAGAGCCCCATGCAGGCACAAACCCACGAACCGTGAGATCATGGCCTGAGCCAAAGTCAGACACCTAACCAACTGAGCCACCCAGGCACCCCTCTACCAAATATTTAAAGAAGAAAGAATACCAATCCTTCTCAAACTCTATGTAAAAATAGAAAAAGAAGAATACTTGTAAATTCATTTTATGAGGCAGCATAATCCTAATACCAAAACCAGACAAGGAATACCATAAGAAAAGGCGAATATCTCTGATGAATAAACATGTAAAAATCCTCAGCAAAATCTTAGCAAACCGAATTGAACAGTACAATAAAAGGATCATATGCATAATCAAGTGGGATTTATTCCAGGGATGCAAGGATGGTTCGACATCCACAAATGAATATGATATACATTTAAAATGAAGGGTAAAAACCATATGATCATCTCAGTAAGTTGAGAAAAAAGCGTTTGACAAAATTCAACATCCAATTATGATAAAAATGCTCAACAAAATAGATAAAGAAGAAATGTGCCTCAACATAATAAAGGCCATAAATGATAAGACTACAGAAAAGTTCATACTCAATAGTGAAAGGCTGAAAGCTCTTCTCCTAAGATCAGGAACCAAAGGATGCCCACCCTCACCACTTTTATTAAACATAGTATTACAGTCCTAGTCTAAAACATTAGCAAGAAAAAGAAATAAAAAGTATCCAAATAGGAGAGGAAGTAAAACTGTTACTATTTGAAGATAACATGATATTGTCGATCTAAAGCTTCTACCCAAACTGTTAGAATAAATCAATACAAAGTAGTACACAAAAGTCTGTTGCATTTCTATACAATAATAAACTATAAAAGAAATTAAGAAAACAGTACTATTTACAATGGCATAAAATAATAAATTTAACCAAGGAGGTGAAAGATTGTACAATGAAAACTATATGACACTGATGAAGATTGTACAATGAAAACCGTATGACACTGATGAAAGAAATGGAAGAAGACACAAATAACTGGAAAGATATTGTGTGCTCATGGGCTGGGGAAAATTAATATTGTTAAAATGTCCATACAACCCAAAGCCACATATAGATTCAATGCAATCCCTATCAAGATTTCTATGGCATTTTTCACAGAAATAGAACAACTAATCCTAAAATTTGTATGGAGCCACAAAAGATCCTCAATAGCCAAAGAAATCTTGAAGAAGAAAAACAAACCTGGAGGCATCACACTTTGTGATTTCGAACTCTGTTACAAAGCTATACTCATTAAAACAGTATAGTATTGGCATAAAAAAAGACACATAGATAAATGAAACAGAATAGAGAGCCCAGGAATAAACCCATGTATATATGGCCAATTAATTTCCAACAAAGGAGCCAATTATACAATCAAGAAAAGCAGTTTTTTCCAATAAATAATGTTGGAAAAATTCTTTACATGCTAAAGAATAAAACTAGACCCTATCTTACACCACACACAAAAATTAACTCAAAATGAATTAAAGAATTGAACATAAGACATAAAACCATAAAACTCCCAGAAGAAAACATAGGCAGTAGCAATGATTACTATGAAGAAAATCCCATGGGAGTCTGAGCATGATTATATATAAAATTGTATCAACAGAGTAAAAGGTCAGGAGCATGTAGTCAGAGGGTAAGATGCCTGGGTTATGACTGTGCCATATCTGTAGATGGTTATCTACAATCCTACTATTGTGATGGCTGATAACCTGAGATTCGTAAGGAGTAGTGCAGATGAAATATCTCTCACCTTGGGAATAAGGTATCCTCTGAACTTAGTGTCCTTAGTCACTGCATGGAGCAGATTGTTGGGGACGAGGTCAATGAATCTCTGGATCTCATGTACCACAGCATCTGTGTAGGGCATGCGACTCCTGTCCTGCATGCAAGGGCTCCAGTGTCTGCCAACCACACGGTCAATCTCTTCCTAGACTTTAGCTGGCAAGATAGGAATGAGAATTTATGTGAAATGGAAATGTCTTCTGATTTGATATTCTTAATCATGGTTACATTGTGGTAGATTGGAAGAAGGGAAAATCACATATGATTATAACCATAGGGGGAAAGAAAAGAAACAATTTGTTTCCCAGGCAAATTGGGACCCCATTAGAGACTTGAATATATGTACATATAAAATATAATTGTACCCTGAAGTTCAACTCTGATTCTCTGTGTTGTGTACTTTTGTTTGATAAATCAAGGATCTATGATCTTGAAGGCTCACTACAGACCATGCTAACACTTTGTGTCTGCCAGATTTTTTTAGAAATTTTTAAAAAGTTTATTTATTTATTTTGAGAGAGAGAGAGAGAGAATGGAGAAGGGGCAGAGACAGGGAAAGAGAGAATCCCAAGTAGGTTTCGTGCTGTCAGTATGGAGCGCAATATAGGGCTCGATCCCAGGATTCATGAGATCATGACCTGAACTGAAATCAAGAGTCAGACACCTAACTGACTGAGCAACCCAGACACCCCCAGTTTTTGTTTTAAATATGTTCCAAGAGGGTAAGAACTACCCAGTGCCACAGATGCTTAATAAATAGAACAATTGAATAAGATGTTTGATTCAGCACATAGGAACAAGAAGTTAACATTTATTTAGAATGCAAAATATGACAGGCATGCTGTACAACATATTACATTACTTTATAATTCCTCAAAATAGTTCTGTGTGTTGGTATTATTTTATGTGTCTTAAAAATGAAAAAACGGGCACCTGGGTGGCTCAGTCAGTTGAGCATCCGACTTCAGCTCAGGTCATGATCTCACGGTTCGTGGGTTCGAGCCCTGCATTGGGCTCTGTGCTGACAGCTAGCTCAGAGCCTGGAGCCTGTTTCAGATTCTGTATCTCCCTCTCTCTCTCTGACCCTCCCCTGCTCATGCTGCCTCTCTCTCTCTCTCTCTCAGAAAAAAAAATTTTTTTTTAATTTTTTAAATGAAGAAACAGGTCCATAAATGTAAATATACTTCTTAAGGACACCCAGGTATTATGTGGTCTTTCTCATTTCCAAACCCACAATCTTAGTAATTGATTAAGATTACTGAAAGTAATTTATGTTAATGAATTATATTCTTCCTTTATTTGCAAAATATATCATGTGTAGTTTTAAGGTGGACTATTCATTAGTTAAAACAAACATTTATTAACCTTTTCCTATGAGGGAGAGGGTCTATGAATGTTAGGAAGTATTATCATCTCCCTTAAACAGATGAGGGACCAAGATATGCAGAGAGATAGTCACTAGTCTGAGGTCACACAGCTACTTACTAATAAAGTCAGAATCTGAAGCCACTATAGTTAATTTTCTCCAGTACCATGGTGCTACTTTGGTCAAATGGTATTCATCTACTACCTGAAGAAGGTGTCTTTGTTAATGGATCATGTGGAAATTCTGTGGTTTGATAGCTATCAAGAAGACTTAGGAATTTTAGGGGCACCTTGGTGGCTTAGTCGGTTAAGCGTCCGACTTCCGCTTAGGTCATGATCTCACGGTTCGTGAGTTCGAGCCCCACGTCAGGCTCTGTGCTGACTGCCAGCTCAGAGCCTGGAGCCTGTTTCAAATTCTGTGTCTCCCTCTCTCTCTGACCCTCCCCTGCTCACGCTGTCTCTCTCTCCCTCCTAGAAATAAATAAAACATTAAAAGATTTTTTTAAAAAAGAAGACTTAGGAATTTTAGAGAAGTTTTAAACTTCACCTTCTCAGGTTGAAAGGCTGGATTTTTATCTAGAAGACAGTGATTATATAAAGTGGTTAGGAACTACTTGTAAAATGAGAATGCTTAGAGAGTGGAACAGTAAGGGATGAAAACAGGAAGAAAGAAAAGGAAAATATACATGGATATGATGTAAGAAAAAATGAAAATGAAAGCAATGGGGAAATATGACACAAAAAGGGCTTCTGCAATGTACACAAGATTTAAAGGTCTGGAGAAAAATGCCATATGATATTCATAGTCATAGTTGACATAGGTCTAATAAGAGTTAGGAAGTTATTTGGCTGAAAGTGTCTATGTCATTCACAGGAAACAGCATCATTATATCCCACAAAGTATAAAAGCAAGGGAATTTTGAGGCTATGCTTCTAAATTGCACCATTTGGAAAGAAGAACTTTATAATGGGAGGGCAGAAGGACCTTCGACAAAGGAGGAAAATCTGGTGCTGATGTCATGAAGAAAACTTATTGAGATATAATTATACTAAAAGTGTCTTAATGTGCCAAAGCACAGAACATAAGACAGTAGTGAAGGAAATATCCTGAGATGAACACTCAATAAAAAAAGAGGAGGAAAAATGGAAAGGTTGTATTTGCAAATTATGTTTATGAGGAAGAATTCATTTGCCCAAAAGGATATATTTGAAAAGAATTCATTTAAATAAAGTTTCAGAGAGTGAGTCTCTTTGATAAAGAAAGACTGTAATTTTGTTGAGTCAATACTTACACTACAAATGCATTTGAGTAGAAGTATCTTTTGACACAGGTGCCTGGGTGGCTCAGTTGGTTAAGTGTTGGACCCCTTGATTTCGGCTTGGGTAATGATCTTATCATTTGTGATTTCAAAACATCCAGCTCTGTGCTGACAGTGCAGAGTCTGCTTGGGATTTCTCTCTCTCTCTCTCTCTCTCTCTCTCTCTCTCTCTCTCTCTCTGCCCCTCTTGAGCCTTCTCACCCTCTCTCTCTCAAAAATAAACTTAAAAAAGATCTTTTGACAAAAATATATTTATCTGGACATGGAAGACATATCAAGTGACATCTTTTTAGAGAAAGTGGAAGGCTGACTCTTTTATCCTAAGAAAACTCTGCTATTGCATCTGTCCCAACACAAATCAGGGACATTCCACCATGGCAGGGAAAAGAATGAGCTCTGTCCTTCAAATCTCTGTTGCTGTTTAAGTATTTCATTATCTTTTTGTACTATAATCTAATTTGAATTTAATCTATCCAATGACAGGAAGATGTACTAATGATGAAAATATTTCTATTTATTTTTTTAAATCTTTGTTTTGGAGAGAGAGGGAGAGTGCAAGCAGAGGATGGACACAGAGAGGGGAAGGCACAGAATCCAAAGCAGGCTCCAGGCTCTGAGCTGTCAGCACAAAGCCTGATGCAGGACTCAAACTCACAAGCTGTGAGATCATGACCTGAGCTTAAGTCGGATGCCCAACTGACAGAGCCACCCAGGTGCCTGGAAATATTTTTTCATTTAAATGTTTGTTTATTTTTCAAAGAGAGCAAGTGGTGGAGAGGTGGGGGGGGAGGGGAGAGAATCCTAAGCAGGCTCCACACTGTCAGCTCAGAGCCAGACTTGGTACTTGATCCCACAAACTGTGAGATTATGACCTGAGCAGAAATCAAGAGTCAGACACTTAACTGGCTGAGCCACCCAGGTTCCCCTAATGATGGAAAATGTTTCCTGTGCATTGTCTAGGCAGTGAAGAGCAGGATGGTTGTCCATGTTGCCTTCCAACGTCTACCTGGAATTTCATCCTGCCCATCACCTGTGACTGTACCTGTGGCCTCTGGGTGCTTCAGGAGGAGCAGGAGTCCATATCTCAGGGTGGTGCTCGTTGTCTCTGTTCCTGCACTAATCACATCCAAGACAGTAATGATCAAGTTTTCCATGGTAAATTCCGAGTGTTCATTGTGTTTTTCCTAGAAATGATGTGTTAGAATTACCTGATTAATGAAAGACCTCCATAGGTAACATAACTCAATATGACACCGTTTTTTGGTGTGAGCACTACAGTTAAAATATAACCAGAGTTATAAACTTCCAACAAGTCCTTTCTGATTCTTCACTTCTCATCCCTTAGAGTCGACCAGTTCCTCTATAATTTCTTTGAAACATAATTTTTATCAAGTCCTCACTGCTACTCACTGTCCATTCTAGCATCTAATTGCCTTTTTTATTATGTATGATTTTTCTCATCCAAGCCTCCAGAACTACTCATCCCCCAAATGCAGCCCTATTCCCAACCTCATCAGGCATGATTACTCAGTTACAATCAAGATCACCTCTCTGTAAGGTCCACTCTTGATCACTGCACTTACCATTCCCTGGACCTACTTTGTTATCTCTGTTCATCTAAGCTAGAGTTTCTTCAAAACCTACCTCATCTGTGAAGATTTCCTAGTGACACTCCAAAGGTAAGCCTTTCTAGATTCCTATCCATTCCTGTGTTCCCTTATGTGTTACATTTTCCATTCTCAGAACTGACTTGATGAAGGATGATTATGTTATGTATCATTAATCTTGAGTGTGTATGTATTTCAATCTGCTCCCAAATAAAAACCCAGCTTTCACATAATAAATATAAAACCTCGTAAGTCACTTTCAGTGAGAATTTATAAATATCTCAAGATACCCAATACGATTTGCACAATTAATAAGTGACACAAGCAACTAATACATCTTTAGGAAGCACCACTTGTTTTAATATCCCAATTTCACTGGGAAGAACAAAGCTAATCCATGAGTCACATCACCCACAAAGATGAAGGGGCACATTATACCTTTTCCATTTTGATCAGGAAGTAGTCAATAAAGTCTCGAGGGTTACTGAAGTCCAGGGATTCTTGGTGTTCTTTTATTTTTTCCACAATAAATTTATATTGGTGAGCAGTGTTTTTAAGTAACACATTATGAGTTCCTGGAAAGTGTAATAAAAGAGGGAAAGCTGAAAGAGGAAAGAATCACTTATTAATTTACTTCACAAAGTTCTATAGGCTCATGGTATGCATCAGACACCAAGTTCTATGCTGAGTAGATAAAAGTAAGACATGCTCCCCGCACTAGAACATAACTTGGAACCTGAAGGAGAGAGAACTGACAAAATGTTCAGAGTTAAGTTATGCGAAAGTCACAAAGCAATCTCAAAACCATTTAATTTCCTAACCATAATTCTATGAAGGAATCCAAGAGTATATCACCTCTTTCCAAAGGAGAATACAAAGGTTCAGAGAGGTCACTCAACCATTCTAGGACACCAAACTAGTAATAGAGCTAGAACCTAGTGTTCATACCAGTTTACCTATATGTATTTCTACAGAGTCACCTAAAAGGTTTGCAGGGCTTTTTTTTTTTTTTGTAGTCAAGAAACTATATCAGAAAAATTAAAGAAATGCTCAAATTAGTTAGCTTATTTTTACTTAGGAATTTTATACCTTTAAGAATATGCACATTGCCCTTATTTATCTGGCCATTGATTGTCCTAGAGTTTACAGACTCTGCTTTAGACAGTACCATGTGATTTAACACCCTTGGTAGGCACTGAAGCAACTTATTCAGGCTGGTAGCATGTATCAAACTAGATGGAGAATTGAGAAGTCTAGATTCTGGGTCTAGCTCATTCCTTATCTTGGCTAGGCCATTTTGGAAAATATGTGCTTAATATCTCTGGGTGACGGTTTCCTGGTTCAAAAATGAGTAGATGCTTTGTTCTCGAGAGTCCTTTCCAGGTGGAATATATCATGACCTTTTGATCCACACAGAATTTCAGTTCTTAATGATCATACAACACAGGATACTAACATCTTCTGACACTCAAGTAAGACATACATTTTACATCACCATCCTCTCCATCTATGGATATAAAAAAGGTTTCTCAAAAAAAACGTTGCTATAATTGATGCACTATACTACATTTGTCTATTACTATGTTTCATGTTTCAAATTTTATTTCAATACATTAATTTGTCACTAATTGGATACAAAGGATAATGTGATAAACATTACTTTAGCCATGTGGAAAAGGGCAAAAGATTGAGGTAGGCATGAGTAATAGATTACGTAGAAAATTATTTCCCATTTATTTTTATATTTTTAAGTTTATTTATTTATTTATTTATTTAGAGAGAGATCATGTACAAGTGGGGAGGGACAGAGAGAGAGAGAGAGAGAGAGAGAGAGAGAGAGAATCCCAACCAGGCTCCACGTTGTCAGCACAGAGCTCGACCAGGGCTTGAACCCATGAACCCTGAGCTCATGAACTGAGCTGAAATCAAGAGTCAGGCGCTTAGCCCACTGAGTCACCCAGGTGCCCTAAAAATTATTTCCCATTTAAAAAGAACCTTGGGGGCGCCTGGGTGGCTCAGTTGGTTAAGGTCCGATTTCGGCTCAGGTCATGATATGGTTCATGGGTTCGAGCCCCACGTCGGGCTCTGTGCTGACAGGTGGCTCAGAGCCTGGAGACTGTCTTCGGATTCTGTGTCTCCCTCTCTCTCTGACCTCCCCTGCCCACGCTGTATCTATCTATCTCTCAAAAATAAATAAAATATTTTTAAAAATAAAGAGAACCTTGACTGGGGGCACCTGGCTGGCTCAGTTGAAAGACCATGTGACTCTTGATACAGGGGTTATGGATTCGAGCCCCATGGTTAAGTATAGAGATTACTTAAATATATTTTTAAAAAAACTAAAAAAAGAATAAAAATAAAGAGAACTTTGACATTACCTGTATCCAGGAAGTGCTTGAAATTAGGAAGTTTTCATGAAAATACTTTATCAAGATTGAAAATTTCTCATCATCATACTCAAAACGATTTTGAAAAATAATAGAGCAGATCACATTGCAGGGAGCATAGCCCAGAAGGAAAGTAGGATCACAGGGAGATGCTAAAACAATAAAAGTTAAAAAGTTAGAGCACAATTTTCATATAAATCTTATATATATATATATAAATCTTAAGTTGATTGTTTAAAACAAAAGAAGGGTTGACTTCTGGGATTTTTTTTTAAGTATAGGAATTCCGTGGACACGTCATCATCACTATAAACTCAACATGCCTAAAATTTATTGTTTCCCCAAACACTGGATTGTCTCTCATCCAGTCCATTTATTTTCCCCAAGTGTTCCCCTTGGGGAGCACCCCAAGAGTTCCCCCAAGTGTTCCCCAAATAAGAGCCACAGGATAGTTCACAAGAATTACTGGGTACAATCTTGGTAAGCATAGGTCAGGAGCATCCAAAATAATGGAATCTTGTACTAGTCTGTTAATAATGTTCTTGATAAACATTTATAGATTAAACCTGTAAATATATTTACTATATTTAATTGAAAATTTATGAAACAATATGCATAGTATAAGCCTCACATCTATATCCCTCTTCTACCCTTTCCTTGTTGGTAGACATCAAAGTCCAAATGATATTCACTGAAACTCTACTACCACCTCCAGAAAGTTATTCCAAGGAAAAAATAAGCACAAATACTTATAAAAATGGCAGTTTTAATATTAATATCAGAAAGAAAAAGGGAAACAACCTGTCTGGACAATGTATAGCATTGGTGGAGCACCTGGGTGACTCAGACAGTTAAACACCTGGCTATTGGTTTTGGCTCAGGTCATGATCTTGAGGTTTCATGGACTGGAGCCCCACATGCTGCCAGCATGGAGCCTGCTTGGGATTCTCTCTCTTGCTCTCTGCCCCTCCCCTACTCACATTCTCTCTGCTTCTCTCAAAATAAATAATAAACTTAAAAAAATAATATTGGAAAAAACCCACCATGGCAATTCACCATATATTAAATAGTACTATAATGGGACACCTGGGTGGCTCAGTCGGTTAAGTGCCCAACTTCGACTCAGGTCATGATCTCCAGTTTGTGGGTTTGAGCCCTGTGTCGGGCTCTGTGCTGACAACTCAGAGTCTGGAGCCTGCTTAGTATTCTGTGTTTTCTTCCCTGTCTGCCCCTCTCCTGCTGTTTCTCTCTCTCAAAAATAAACAAACATTCCAAAACATGTTTTATTTTATTTTTTTAAATGTTTTATTTATTTCTGAGAGAGAGAGAGAGAGCGTGATCAGGGGAGGGTCAGAGCGAGAGGGAGACACAGAATCTGAAGCAGGCTCCAGGCTCTGAGCTGTCAGCACAGAACCCAATGCAGGGCTCGAACCCACGAACCGTGAGATCATGACCTGAGCTGAAGTCGGACACTCAACCGACTGAGCCACCCAGGCATCCCCAAAATATGTTTTAAAAAAAGAAAACAGTACTATTTCCTTAACACTGTTCTTGGGAAATATTTAAAGATTGAGGTTCAAAAACCATATATGTCTTATAATCCTGATCTTACTCCTTCCCTGCCAAGACTCCTGTCTACCCCTTCCTCTTCTACCTCCTCTCCCAGTCTAGCATGTGCATGCACAAATACACACACTGAACCAATTTGTGCTACTGAGGCTCCCTCCATTCATATTCATACTCCTCCAAGTGAGCTATATAGCAGCCCTAAGCACAGAGAAGGAATCCTAGTGCTGAATGGGGTTTTCCCCCTATTTTACTAAGATATGATTGACAGCACTGTGTAAGTTTCAGGTGCACAGCATAATGATTTGACATACACATACTGTGAAATGTTTGCAATGGTTTCAAGACGTTACTAGAGAAATTACGTCATTTTTCAAATTACTGTGGCCAAAACTACTAGCTCATTACCCGAATCCTTGTTCTCCTTGTTTTCCTATGCTCACGGAACCACATCTTCCACTTCGCCTTAGAGCTGGTGTGATCCTGAGACTGAGTTAGAGTCCACAGAATGTGTGCCATTGCCACTCCTGGCCCCCTGAAAACATTATTTGCTCTTTTCTTTGTTCTTTGCTCCTTCTGCTACCCTGAAGAGAGAGGAGTCCTTGGTGACACTGGAAGCCACATGTTGAAGATATCAACCTGGTGCCCGAAGAGACTGGTATGCCAACCCCTTCACTTCACTACTATCATGTGAGCAAAAAGTAAACTTCTATGGTGCTTGAGCCATTAGATCTCTCTGTAGCCTATTTGAAAGAGCATGGAGTCCGCCCAAACTATTACTCTTAAATACATAAAGAAATACACACCATTGGTTTTTTTTAATGCTTCCACCAGATACAAGGCTTCCTCTTGAATTCTGTCTTCAATAGTCTTCTTCCCCATCCCCAGATTCCGCAAAACCATGAGGGTGAAACGCCGGACTTGCTACCATTGTTCTCCATTGCTGAAAACAACTCCTATCAGGGGGGGAAAAAAAAGAAAAAGAAAAAGAGGGATGCCTGGGTGGTTTAGTAGGTAAAGGGTCTGACTCTTAATCTCAGCTCAGATCTTGATCTCAAGGTCCTGAGTTCAAGACCTGTGTTAAAAAAAAAAAGACTCAAAAAAGAAGAATGACCTCTATTGCCATGAATTCTAGCTGAGTCTTTTATCTCAGCGAATGATAATGACATTTAAACAGGAATGTAAATATGGTGTGGTGCCAGCTGTACGAATTTCCAATGAGCCTTGCTTTACCTGCTTTCTGTTAGCCAAGCCTCATATCTGTCAAGACTCTGTGTTTTACATATTACTTAACTCTTCTCCATCTCCTTCAACCTCAGAATAACTCTGTGAACCAAGTGTTTTGTCCCCATTTTACTGATGATCACAGAGGCAAAATGCTTGCTCTGTGGGTCACACAGCTAATACAGCATGGTGACTTCAAGTCATAGGTGAAATTTTCAGGGCTGATTTTTGTATGTTGTAAGCGAATTGTAGGAGAGGCAACTAAAAGAGTCAATTCTCAAGAGAAGAAGAGACACTCTTGTGCACTGGAAGGAAATTCATGAAAATCTATTCCTTTGATAAGAGACACAGCAACTGCCCTCCTCATTTTAACATTTCCCTTCTGTCTGCAATATCTCTGCCATGAAATACGGTTTTAACACCAAGAAAGGTCAATATCAGACTTCCAGAAGCCAAGGCAGTATCAGGAGAGAAAACAATTCTTATAGGAGACTTGTCCATAAAGAATTTAAAGAACAATGTAGAAAAGGAAGTGACCGCATTCAGGCCTTATTTCTTTTTACAGGAACCCAGTGAACCACAGAGGACTGGACAGTTTAAGGTCAGCTCCAGAAACAAATGGAAGACAGTTCAAGTACTTAATATAAAAACCTTTTTGGGGCGCCTGGGTGGCTTAGTTAAGCGTCCGACTTTCGTTTAGGTCATGATCTCACGGTTCGTGGGTTCGAGCCCCGCGTCAGGCTCTGTGCTGACTGCCAGCTCAGAGCCTGGAGCCTCTTTCGGTCAGTGACTCCCTCTTTCTCTGACCCTCCCCCTGCTCACGCTGTCTCTCTCTCTCTCCTAGAAAAAAAAAAAAATTAAAAAAAAAATATATAAAAACCTTTTCTAATTTCACTCTCAATCCATATGTACTCACTCTGTGTTTTTCCATAATTCCCTTTCCAGGGATTATTTGTGCTTTATGGATTGTATTCTGTTGGATTCAAATATTTCTTATGCCTTTTACTTTAAAAGAATAAAAGACTGAAGTCAAGACTGGGAATATTTCAAACCTATGCTGGTTCCATGCACACTATGCAAGTTTCCTAAACTAGTCTCTTGGCAACCATAACTCAGGCCAAAAAGGAAAATGTTTGGTGGCTAGTATAATTGAATCATTTCCCTTCCTTCTTTTTCTCTTATTATCTTAACTGAAATGAACATTATCCTAACTGGCCATATTTTGAAATGAACACAAATTTAAGTACGTTAATGGTTAGATGATTTGCTTTCATTGCATTTTATGTTTCATGGAGATACCTTGTCACTTTCATAATGTAAAATATGGATTAATGATCCTTTACAGAAAAAATGCTGGAATTATGTTTTCATAGGTGTCTCTAAATACTTACAATATCTCAATCCCTTAGCTTATTTGGAGTCTTTGCAACTTACAAACCCACATACGTTCCCCAGATTGAGACATACCTAATCCTTGGATGGCTCTGTCCAACACTGGGAAAGGGCCTCTGCCAGAAAACGCCTCACTCTGATCAATGAGAGCTTCCTTCACTGCTTCATATCCATATACCACCACAGTGCGCTTGTTGCCAAAATACAGTGAACACAGGACCATAACTCTCTGCTAGCTGGGAAAGGAACAGGAGGTGCAGGAATAGGGAGGATTTCAAAACTAAAAATGTAGATAAGTCTCTCTACTAAAGAGACATTTTATATTCATTCACCCAATATAAAAGATTTCAACTTCTAGAACTAGTAATTTAATCAATCACATTAAGTGGTAATTATATTATTAGTCACATTGCTATTATTATCATCTTCATCAATAGGTAACCTTTATTAACATGGAAAGAGCCTAAGTGTCCATCAATGGATGAATGGATCAAGAAGATGTGGTTTATCTATACGATGGAATACTACATGGCAATGAGAAAGAATGAAATCTGGCCATGTGTAGCAACATGGATGGACCTTGAGGGTGTTATGCTGAGCGAAATAAGTCAGGCAGAGAAGGACAGCTACCATATGTTTGCACGTATAGGAGGATTAGGAGGAACTTAACGAAGGACTGTGGGGGAGAAGAAGGGGGGAAATAGGGGAGGAGAGGGAGGGAGGCAAACCATGAGAGACTCTTGAATGCTGAGAACTGAGGATTGATGGGTGTGGGAGGGAGGGGAAGGGGGGTGATGGGCATGGAGGAGGGCACTTGTGGGGATGAGCACTGGGTTATATGGAAATCAACTTGACAATAAACTATTAAAAAAAATAGTTAACCTTTATTCAGCTCCTGATATTATATTATAGATTTTATTCATATTCTTTTATTAACCTATATCTGCCAAACCTACAGTTGCACCAAATTTCTCCTTTCTTCCTATAGTTACAATAAATAATCTGTTTCTTGTCCTGCTTAAGGGAAGTTCCCCCATCTTGTCCCATGTGCAGGCTACTAATCATCCCTTATTATCCACTCTGCACATCTTTTTAGCACTAGAGACCTCTAAATACAGAAGGACATGGCAATGTAGTCGCAGACATTTCCCAGCTTCCATGTGTGGCCATGTGACTAAGTTTTCATGAACCGATATTAGCAGAAATGATGTGTCCAAATCTTACACTATTGTATAAGTGGTAATTGCAGGCCCTCTCTTCCTCCCCCTACCCGGGCACTGAAATGGCAGCATGGAGACAACCCTACTGCCTCCATGCACATGAGAACAATAGCCCTACTACAGGATGGCCAACTACAAGACTAAGAAAAACTATTTCTCGGGGCGCCTGGGTGGCTTAGTCGGTTAAGCGTCCGACTTTCACTTAGGGCATGATCTCGCAGTTCGTGGGTTCGAGCCCCGCGTCGGGCTCTGTGCTGACTGCCAGCTCAGAGCCTGGAGCCTGTTTCAGTCTGTGACTCCCTCTCTCTCTGACCCTCCCCTGCTCGCGCTGTCTCTCTCTCTCCTAGAAATAAATAAAACATTTAAAAAAAAAAAAAGAAAAACTATTTCTCTAGAGGACCTCAAGCAAAAGAGGCAGCTCAGCAGCACTCACCTCTGTATCATTCTGTGAGACAGAAATAAGCTCTTATCTTCTTGAAGCCATTGTGCTATTGGGATCTTTCTGTCATGGCAGCTTCTTTGGTATACTGACTGACTCTTTCAGCTTGTCCAAGGTCTGAGTTCTATTTTACCATACAATTCATTCTCCATAAAGCAACCAGAGTGTTCTTTTCAAAAGGCAAATGCTAACACGAGAGTGCTTTCAGCATGTTAATGGCATCACATTGCTCTTGTGCTAAAGACGAATATTTTTTCTATGTTTATTTATTTTTGAGAGAGAGAAAGAGAGAGACAGAGCATGAGCAGGGGAGGGGCAGACAGAATCCAGAGCAGGCTCCCAGCTCTGAGTTGTCAGCACAGAGCCCAACGTGGGGCTCGAACTCATGAACCACGGGATCATGACCTGAGCTGAAGCTGAACGCTTAAGCAACTCAGCCACCCAGGCACCCCAGGACCAATATTTTTAAAAGCCTTGTAAGACCTGCATTTCTGGCAACTATTTCTCCAATCTTCTCCACACCATGTTTTGTGCACACACTCTGGTGTACAACCAAATCGGTCCTCTTTCAGAGGCAGTAACAAGTAATTCTTCTTCAAACTGAAACAGCGTGGAACAAACTTTCATCTGTATTTTTTCTGGTTAATGCTTGATCTCAGCTTCAGCTTCACTGCCTCAGAGAATCCTTTGCTGACATTCTCCCATCCCTGCTCCACCAAGCTGCATGGCCTCTTTCTATTGTGACCCTATTACACAGTTTGTAATCACACATTTATCTGCATGATTATTTTACAAAACATGCTTACCAGCTACAGACTGGAAATCCCATAATGCTCAGTCTTTTTTTCTTTTTTTTATTTACCATTGGAAATCCTCAGCATTGGGGCACCTGGGTGGCTCAGTCAGTTAAGCATCTGACTCTTGATTTTGGCTCAGGTCATGATCTCATGGTACATAGGATCAAGCCCCAAGTCAGGCTTTTGCATGGAGCCTGCTTGGGATTCTCTCTCTCCCCCTCTGCCCCGCCCCTACATGCTCTCAACATAGTGCCTAGTAACTAACTAAATATTCAACAACTTGATGAGTATGTGATATATTCAAGGACCTTGTGCAAAAATAGAATTCTTATTATTTTAAAGAAATGGAAATTAACACTCAGAGAGATTTTTAAAACGTACCCAATGCTGTGAGTTAACAAGCAGATGAGGTAGGATGCTGACATCATCTCGTTGAATCTCTTAGCCCAAAACACAGAAAGGAGTTTCCAGAAGCTGTGCTCTGGTAACTAGCTGTCTCAGTGAAGACAGATTTCAGACAATCCCTTCAAGATTTAGAGAGGTATTGCTATATAAATAGCTAGGAATAGTTATTCACATGTTCACTGAGCAAATAGAAAAAAACTTCTGGAACCTTAAGTTATTTCCTGGGTTTAAATCAATGTGTGTTTTTAGGAAATTTTTAGTGTTGCGATTTGTAGATCAGAATTTTTTTAAAAATTGAAAACAGTTTCATTGCCATTCGAGTTCACCAAAGAATAATTACTAAAAAGAGGACCTGCTCACAATATGGACCAGGAATTCCTTTTGGGAATCTTAACAATCATCTCATGGATCTCATCCCCTCTGGCAACCTTCTAGCTGGGTATCTAATGAACACTTCCCTTTATTTATTTATTTATTTTTAATTTTTTATTTGGAATAATTTAGGTTTATAGAAGAGTTGCAAGGAGAGTACAGATAATTCTCTTACACACTTCACCTGGCTTCCCCTAATATTAACATCTTAGATAACCATCGTTTTTTTGTTCTTTAAGTTGGAGTACATGAAAAGAAATCTGTTTGACTGTTGTGCTGCAGTCCTAGAAAGCAATCAATCCAATTAGAACAGACCTTATGAAGAAAAAGGAGGTAAGATGCAACAAAAATCTCTCATTTCATTTCATTTCATTCAAACTGCTTTCATTAATAAAGTCTCATCAATTTGTTGCAATGATGTTGGCAACATCTAGTACCCTAATTTCTTTATTTGAGTTTATATCTGAATTACCTGGAAGGGTTTTTTTTTTTTTTTTTTAACTTGGAAGGCTTTTTTTTTTTAACAGTTTATTGTCAAGTTGGTTTCCATATAACACCCAGTGTTCATCCCCACAAGTGCCCTCCTCCATGCCCTCTACCCACCTTCCCCCCACACCCATCAGTCCTCAGTTTGTTCTCAGCATTCAAGAGTCTCTCATGGTCCGCCTCTCTCTCTCCCCCCCACTATTTCCCCCCTTCTTCTCCCCCACTGTCCTCTGTTAAGTTCCTCCTAATCCTCCTATACGTGCAAACATATGGTAGCTGTCCTTCTCTGCCTGATTTATTTCGCTCAGCATAACACCCTCAAGGTCCATCCATGTTGCTACACATGGCCAGATTTCATTCTTTCTCATTGCCATGTAGTATTCCATCATATAGATAAACCACATCTTCTTGATCCATTCATCCATTGATGGACACTTAGGCTCTTTCCATGTTTTGGCTATTGTTGAGAGTGCTGCTATGAACGTTGGGGTACATATGCTCCTATGCATCAGCACTCCCATATCCCTTGGGTAAATTCCTAGCATGAACACTTCCCTTTAAAATCACTTCTTTAAAACATGGTGGCTGGGACCACATTTTATTTAGATATATGGTTGTAACTGCGAGTTGGAAGAAAAGTAATCATACTTACCTTGCTTATGGATTTGCTGACATTACTAACATTTATCTGTAGAACATTTCCAATGATTGGCAGAGGAGTGGGGCCAGGTGGTAGCTTCTCTTTGGCATGGTTTCGATTCCAAAGAAAAAAAGGAATCAAACAAGAAAGACAAATCACCAGAACTACGAAGAAATCCATTGTTGTGCTTTGTGTAAATGCAGTTGGAAGCTTGGAATCCAAAGATTTTATAAATACTGAGCACAAGTGGATCATCAAACATGGACTAAAGCTTTGACCTTTTGGATACTTTTTTATCTTCAGTGGACTCTGACCCATTGGTAAAGATGAAAACAAAAACAGTCACTTTAGTATTCAGGGCTCTAGCTTACGACAGTGAGATCATGACCTGAGCCAAAATCAAGAGTCAGACACTTAACTGACTAGACCACCCACATGCCCCCAAAACATTATTTATTTATATTTAAATCTAGCTTAGTAACATATAGTGTATAATGATTTCAGGAACAGAGTTTAGTGATTCATCATTTACCTATAACACCCAGTGCCATTCCAACAAGTGTCTTCCTTAATGCCCATCACCTATTTACACCCCCCCCAACACCCTTCAGCAACCTTCAGTTTGTTCTCTGAATTTAAAAAAATTTTAACGTTTATTTATTTTTAAGATAGAGACAGATCACGAGCTGGGGGAGGGGCAGAGAGAGAGGGAGACACAGAATCCCAAGCAGACTCCAGGCTCTGAGCTGTCAGCACAGAGCCTGACGCAGGGCTCGAACCCACCGACCGCAAGATCATGACCTGAGCCGAAGTCGGCCACTTAACCGCCCCTGTTCTCTGAATTTAAGAGTCTTTTATGGTTGTCTCCCTCTCCGTTTCAATCTTATTTTTGCTTTTCTTCCCTTTTGTTCATCTGTTTCTTAAATTCCATATATGAGTGAAATCATATATTTGTCTCTGATTAATTTCACTTAACATTGTAACCTCTAGTTCCATCCACATTGTTGCAAATGGCAAGATTTCATTCTTTTTGACTGCTGAGTAATATGCCATATATTGTATCTATGTACCACATCTTCTTTATCCACTCATCAGTTGATGGACATTTGGGCTCTTTCCATTCTTCGGCTATTCTTGATAATGCTGCTTTAAACATTAAAGTGCATGTGCCCCTTTAAATCACCACTCCAGAATCCCTTGGATAAATACCTAGTAGTGCAATTTCTGGGTTGTAGGGTAGTCCTATTTTTAACTTTTGGAGGACCCTCCATACTGTTTTCAGAATGACAGCACCAGTGTGCATTCCTACCAACAGTGCAAGAGGGATCTCCTTTCTCCACATCCTCACCAACACCGGTTGTTGCCTGAGTTGTAAATGTTAGCCATTCTGATGGGTGTGAGGTGGTATCTCATTGTGGTTTTGATTTGTATTTCCCTGATGATGAGTGATGTTGAGCATTTTTTCATGTGTCTGTTAGCCATCTGGATGTCTTCTTTGGAAAAATGTCTACTCATGTCTTTTGCCCATTTCTTCACTGGATTATTTGTTTTTTGGGGTGTTGACTTTGGTTAAGATTTTAGATACTAACCCTTTATCTGATATGTCATTTAGAAATATTTTCTCCCATTCTGTCAGCTGCCTTTTAGTTTTGCTGACCAAAAACATGTTTTAAATGAACAAACATGCTGAGTAATAAACTAGATTTAGCTGTATTTCAATTTATTTAGCAGGAAGATATTGGGAAACCAAATGTTTCCCAAGAGTAGGATACAAAGTAACAATAATGAAAACCACAAACAAAGTTAAGTGGTATGGATGATAGTTCTAGAAATTCCAGTGAATTTATGATAGCAATTTCAAGAAGAGAGAAAAAAATACTTAAATGGAAAAATAAGCAAAGGAAATTGAAGAAAATTTTCCTGAACTTTGCATTCCTACAATGCAAAGATTCCACAGGATTAAAGTTAAAAAGACCCACACTCCCGCAGTCTTGTGAGACCTCAGAACGTCAAGAAATAAAACAAAACAAAAACAAAATCTAAAAAATTCTGGAAAGAAAAGGGAAGTTATAAAGACTAATGATCAATTCAGAATAAAGCTTCCTACATATGATGCTTTTACATGACAGACTACAGAGGAGTAAGGTATTCAAAGGTTCAATAGGAAATGATTTTCAAAATTATTATTCTATGCCAAAATAGAATTCAAATATGAGGTCAAAATACAGACATTTTTGAACATGTAAACATTCAGACATTTTATAACCTTGAACCATTTCCAAAATCATTGAGAAAAAGCCCAATGAAATAAAAATGTATCCAAGAGGGGCATCTGGTGACTCAGTCAATTAAGCATCTGATCCTTGATTTCTGCTTGGGTCATGATCTCACAGTTTGTGGGATCGAGCCTTGCATCTGGCTCTGCACTGACACTGAGAAGCCTGCTTGAGATCCTCTCTCTTCCTCTCTCTGTTCCTTCCCTGCTTGTTCTCGCTCTCTCTCTCAAAATAAATAAACTTAAAAAAATGTATCCAAGAACAGGGAGAATGCAGGATACAAAAATAATGTGCAAAAGAGAACTTTTTTTTTCCAAGCACAAAATGAGTATTTAATTCAGTTTCAGAAAAAGATGTCACATGAATCTGGATTATAAAAGAAGCCTGTTTTTCCAGAAATAGAGGGAAAAGAAAGAACCCGTAGTAGATTCAATGCTAATTTTCCAGATCTTCCTTTTCCATCAAAAGCTGTATATCTTCTCTCCAAAGCACTTGCTTCAAGAATCAACTGACCCTCTTCATTTCCATCTAGCTGGGATAGGCTTATTCCCCTCTACCCTCACCCCTCTGTTTTCAGCCATACCGTGTGGGTGCTGAAGACCCTGGGCTCAGAGCAACGAACAGAACTGTCCTTTAAGCTAACAACCCACAAGCAGTGGCACCCAAAGCCCCGTGCCCAGTGCCGGTGGCAGAGGCCATAGAGCTGGACCTTCTTCTACTGTCTCAGGACGAAGGAGCTGAAAGCTGAACATCAGCACAAATCAAGGTCCAACACAGAGAGAGAATGAGGGATCCTAGGCCCAGAGTAGGCTGCAAGCTGGGAGCAGGAAAAGGGAATTTTTGAGTCATTCCATCTTTAGAAATGGGGAAACTGGACCTCTACCCACTGCCATACTTCTATAAGGTACTCCACATCGAGTGTCAGATCCCATTCCAGGTATGACACAGGCGAGGGAAGACAATGCAAGCATGGTTGTGTGGATCAGTGGTGGCCCCAGACAGCAACTTCACAAGTTCCAAAGGAGACAAAGTTCCCAGGGACCAACAGGGTTGACAAGTCAAAAAGACAGACCCCTACACTCAAGGCCATCCCTGTACCACAGTGGCAAACATTGCTAGGGGAAGAGACCAACTGTAGATAGTGGTATGTGGAGACAGAACCAGTGTTCTTATTCCAGAACCTCCCCCATCTCTTCCTTGACAGTGGTTCCCAAAGGAACAGCGTTTCTGATGCAGAGCTGAAGACTAAGGTGGGCACAGAGGCAATGACGGCCAGCATGTCTCAACAAGAGTGCAACCATCTTGAGTTCTGGCCTGGATGCAAGTAAAACTTTCTGAGTCTAAATAATGACTGATAAGGTGATTGTAAAGCTTGAAGAAATTAAGTTATTTTTCATTTAAAAGGGAGCTATGGGGTGCCGAGGTGGCTCAATTAGTTAAGTGTCAGACTTTGGCTCAGGTCATGATCCATGGTTCATGAGTTCAAATGCTGCATCAGGCTCTCTGCTGTCAATGCAGAGCCCACTTTGGACCCTCTGTGGCCCCCCTCCTCTGCCCACCCCCCCACTAATTCTCTCTCTTTCTCTCTCAAAATACATAAATTTTAAAAATTAAAATAAAAAAATTAAAAAGGGGCTAAAAACCTAGATGTTTTCAACAAAATAGGTAAGATAATCTAGAATGAAAGGAGTTGTCCGCATTCTGAGAGCTGTGTGTCTTACTTTAATAGTCAAGTTCTATGTGGGTTTTCAGCTACACCGGTGTTGGCTCCTCCTTATCCCCGTGTTGTTCAATGGTCAACTGTATGACTTATGAACTCTATACTGGAAAGTATTTCAACTACAAACATTATATCCTACAAACATTTGTTGAGTGTGTACCTTGCAGACTCGGACATCAAACAATTTGTTGAAATAGTGAGTTGACAGTTTTACAGAGGGTAAATAAAAAGGGGAGTTCAGAAAAGTTTGTCTCTTTGCAATGTTTATTTACTTGTGTTTTTTTAAATGTTTTACTTATTTTTGAAGGAGAGAAAGAGCATGAGCAGGGAAGAGCAGAGAGAGAGGGAGACACAGAATCCGAAGCAGACTCCAGGCTCTGAGCTGTCAGCACAGAGCCCAACACGGGGCTCAAACCCACAGATCATGAAATCATGATCTGAGCCGAAGCTGGACACTTAACTGACTGAGCCACCTGGGCACCCCAATTTATTTACTTTTTTTAGGGGTGCCCAGGTGGCTCAGTCAGTTGAGTATCCAACTCTTGATTTCAGCTCAGGTCATGATCTCATGGTGCACGGGACTAAGCCCCATGTCAGCACCTTCTGTGCTGTCAGCATCAGAGCCTCCTTAGGATTCTCCCTCTCTGCCCTTCCCCCGCTCTCTCTCTCAAAAATAAATAAATAGTGAGAAAAAACGCTAAAATAAAAACATTGACCCAGATATTCTTACTCTGTACTCACTACTTTTCTGGACATCGCTTTCTTGGATAGTAAGTTTCCTTTAGCTACTACATCTTTTGTCATAGCAGTTCGCTTCTCCTGAAGCTAACTTCTTAGAATGTTTCTCAGACTGCAAAACCATCTGAGACCATTTCACACAAAATTCCAGAATCTATTTTTTTTTTAATATTTTTATTTATTTCTAGGAGAGAGAGAGAGAGAGCGTGAGCAGGGGAGGGTCAGAGAGAGAGGGAAACACAGACTCTGAAATAGGCTCCAGGCTCCGAGCTGGCAGTCAGCACAGAGCCCGACACGGGGCTCGAACCCACGAACCGCGAGATCATGACCTAAGCGGAAGTCGGACGCTTAACCGACTAAGCCACCCAGGTGCCCCTCCAGAATCTATTTTATTCTTCAGTAGTAGAAAGTGGAGTATCCATTTTCACAACTGCAACATTGGAACACTACTCTGGACATC